CCCCCCCCCCCGGTCATCTTCCTTACTCCTTAACTCCCCCTCAGGCCTCGCAGTCCAGGGAGGTAGGAGGTGGCATGAGGGACAGATAGCATCTCTGTGTGGCCTGCCTCATCTTTGAGTGGAGAGAGTCACGAGATAGGTCTGGCTGTGGCAAGGATGCTCCAGTCACCATGTCCGTGTACCTGCTCTCATAGGCTGGCAGGTGCCGGTGGGCGCAAGAAGATCTTCCGTCTGAGTGAGGTGCTGAAGCCCCTGACGGACGCTGAGGTGGAGGCCATGAAACTGGGCGCCGTGAAGCGGATCCTGCGGGCGGAGAAGGCTGTGGCCTGCAGCGGGGCGGCCCAGGTATGCCCATCCCCATTCAAGCATGCTTTCTCATTCTTTGAAGCTAGTTTTTACTCAGCTAGTTGCATATGGCACTTCCAGGCAGTACAGATGCAGCACATCTTCCTCGGCCATTACCTATATATATTTTTTTTTCTTGCGGAACCAGGGATTAAACTCGGGTCCTTGTGCTTGCCAGGGAAGCACTTATTCCACTCAGCCATCTCCCTGGGCCCCATTACCTATATTCTGTCCCCTCCCTAAGGATGACATTGTACACAAATTCAGAGATCCTGGGCTCCGGAGATAGCTCAGTGGTATAAGTGCCTGCCTGGAAAGCACAAGGCCCTGAATTTGATCCCCAATACTGCGGGGAAAAAAAGATCTTTCCAGATCTATTAAGTTTACTGGTACAGTTTAGGTTTTTTGTTTTTTTGGTTTTTTTTTCTCTCGGTACTGGCGATTGAACTCAGGACCCTGTGCTTACCAGGCAAGCACTTATTCTACTAAGCTATCTCCCTGGCCCCTTAGATTACATATTGACCACATTCATGGTAGGATCTTGCACCTGTACATGGTTTATTTTGGTACTGCCTTTTTCCCCATTCCCCTGTGCTCCCTTCAATCCCTCATCCCTTTCTTATTTGCAAAGCTTTGTTTCTTTTTTATCCTTTTCTCTCTTTTTTTTTCTTTTCCCTTCCTTCCTTTCCCCTTTTTCTTAAGTACCCATGTTCTCTTAAAAACACTTTAATTCGGTGACAATATATATTTTGTTTCTTGCCCTTCTCTACTCTGCCACAAGCAGGCCCTGCTGGGCATGAGGTTCTTTAGCTTCCTTCCTCATGTCTGCACTGGGGATCCTGAGCCTGGCTGGGAGTGACAGGGTGTGGTTTGGGGTTAGCCCCCAACACACACACATACCTGCTTGCTGTCCTGCCAGGTGCGCATCAAAATCCTGGCCACCCTGGTGACACAGTTTCACTCAGGCCTCAAGGCTGAGGTCCTGTCCTTCATCCTGGAGGATGTGCGGGCCCGCCTGGACCTGGCCTTCGCCTGGCTCTACCAAGAGTACAATGCCTACCTAGCAGCCGGGTCCTCTGGCTTCCTGGACAAGTATGAGGACTGTCTCATCCGCCTGCTGTCGGGCCTGCAGGAGAAACCAGACCAGAAGGACGGGTGAGAGGGTAGCCCTGCGCCCTCGTCTCCCTCCCCTTGCTTCTCCTGTCTTCTCTGTCCCCTGTGTCAGTTTCTCCCTACTGCTGCGACTTGCTGAGAGTGGCCTTTGTTCCCCCTATGTGATAATGGGCTTGAGCTATAGCTTCCTCCCTTTTCGTGGTCTCTGGCACCCATTTATTTACCTTGCACATAGCAGCCCTGGTGACACTTCGCGGTGTAAGTTCTGTCTGGTTACTTTTCCACCAAGAGCCTGTGGGATAAACTACAGCTGCTTTTTCTGTCACTTCCCTGGCCTTGGTCTTCTCCATGTTCCTCCATTGCTGTTGTTCAGGGCCTTGACCACTACTGTGGTCTATCTGGAACCACAGCCCACCCCAGGCTCCTTGAGTGGCTGGTTCCTCCCCGCTCCCCTCCTGCTGCTCCTCCATGTTCATGGCCGTGTTACCTCCGAAGCCTCCCCTGCCCCTCACTCCTTCCCCTGGATATAGGAAATCAGTTAGGAATCCCCACTTGGAAAAGGAGTGACTGGGTTTCAGAGAGGGCAAGTCTCTGCCCAAACCAGCCAGCACGCAGCTTTTGAGCCACATCCTGTCACATCCAAAGCTCTGTGGCCAGAAGCTGAAAACTTGTGGCTGCACTTGGGGTTGGGCGGCCAGTCTCTGCAGCCTGTGCTCTGTGCCTTCCTTGGGCAGGATCTTCACCAAGGTCGTGCTGGAGGCGCCGCTAATCACTGAGAGTGCTCTGGAGGTGATTCGCAAGTACTGTGAGGATGAGGTGAGGAGGCAGCAGCATCCTACGGGGTCTGAAGGCTGCACAGCCTGGGGGGGGGTTCCTGGGGGGGTGGGGAGACAGACCCTGAGGTGCCCTGCAGCAGCTGAGTCCTGCCTCCCTGCCCCCCACAGAGCCGCACCTACCTGGGCATGTCCACACTCCGAGATCTGATCTTCAAGCGTCCGTCCCGCCAGTTCCAGTACCTGCATGTGCTCCTTGACCTCAGTTCCCACGAGAAGGACAAGGTGATCCCTGCATTCCATGCTGGGCTGCACTCCACAGTGTGCAGAGGCGTCCTCTGTCTGCAAAATGCACCCCAGCCTTTTACACCACCCCTTGAAAGTTTTCTTTTTGGTGTTGAGGCTGCTTAGAAACAAGGGATATTGTACCTGCCTCTTCTGCAGGGTGTGCACTCGCCCTTGGGGTGGGTGGGGGTCTTGAGCCCAGGGCCCTCACACTCGGCTGCCTTCCCATCCTAGGCTCGTGCTAACATGCCCAGTTCTTTTTTTTTTTTTTTCAAACTTTGACACAGTCTTGCTAAGCAGTAAGTTTCTCAGGTTGAGAACACACTTGAGATCCTTCTGCCTGTCACTGAGTGCCAAGATTGTCCTCCTGGCTCCCATTCATACTCCATTCCTCTCATGTTGGTGAACTAGAGCTCCCACTAAGGCAGGAAGCCTGGAACCTAGGGCACCAGCCTATGAAGGACTTAGCACGCTTAGTGCTGGAGCGGTGGCCCACCCCATCTGTTTGGGGGGTTGGGGGTTGGGGGTGGCTCAAGAAAGGCTTCCTGGAGGAGGGGGCCTGTGAGCTGACGCCTGAGATGTGAGTGCTCCAGGGGGTGGTGGGTATGTACCTGGCGCAGTTGGTGAGGGCCTCTGACCACTCTTCTCGCTGCCAGTGTGTGTTCAGCATGCCTTTGCCGTGCTCCTCTGGCCCTGGCCCTCGGTGCTGTTGGAGACAAAGCAGTGCCCAAGACCAGATGCTCTGCTCACGGCTCCCAGCAGGCGGTGTCTGAGTGAAACAAGGATTAGCCAGTGAGCCACTGCAGGCGGTGGGGCGCCTAACATGCCAAGTTCCAGAGCCAGGGAGACTTGGCAGGGATGTTGCTTTTGAGGAACTGAGGAGAGAGTGGCCTACTTGCAAGGACATAGGAGTACATGAAGCTGGGCCGCCTCCAGCTGGGCCTGCCTTCACCCGGGCCCGGCTTCACGCAGCTGCTACCCCTTCAGGTGCGCTCCCAGGCCCTGCTGTTCATCAAGCGCATGTATGAGAAGGAGCAGCTGCGCGAGTACGTGGAGAAATTCGCCCTCAACTACCTGCAGCTCTTGGTGCATCCCAACCCGCCATCTGTGCTCTTCGGGGCAGACAAGGACACAGGTGTGGCACCCTGCCCGCCTGCTAGGGAAGACAGCTGAGAGCTGGCCAGGGCTGTGGGGCTGGGATAAGAGGCCTCTGAACCGGCCTGAAGGTCCATAGGGGTCTGGAGGCCAAGGAGGACTGACCTCCAGCAAGGGCCTTCCCAGGCTGGTCCTGCAGGAGAGCCCCAGGTCTTCCAGAATCAGACAGCCTTGAGCCCCCTCTGAACAGGACCTTAAATGGGAAGGCCCAGCCTGGTGTTGGGAAGTTCCCTGGGTGGTGAGAGACCCGGGGCTGGGGCTGTGTGAGCGGAGGTGGTGATCTAGGCAGAGATGATGGTGCAGAGGCCGTAAAATGAGAGGCCTCGGGGACTGTAAGAAGTGGCTGGGGCAATGACCAGGACTGGGTTGGTGCTGCCTCTTACTACACCTAGCAGATAAGGCAAGGCCAGGAGTTTATCCCAAAGCCTTGAGGTCACTGTGGGAAGACTCAGAGAGGGTCAGGGTCAGAGCTGCACTGATAGTGAGCTGTTTGTCTCTGACTTAGTGGTCAGAGAGGCTGTAGGTAGAGTCGAGTCCTAGGCCCACACCCCTTCCCTAGGCAGTTTGCTTCCCAGTGCTGCCTGTTTCCCTCACCCCCTTCTTCCCAATGACCTGCTCCCTGAGAAGGGGCAGGCACCAGGGACTGAGGAGAGAGCGCCTTGGGGATGAGGTGGGAGAGTGGGCCAGTCTAATGCCCACCCCACCCTGTCAGAGGTGGCCGCGCCCTGGACCGAGGAGACGGTGAAGCAGTGTCTGTACCTCTACCTGGCCCTCTTGCCTCAGAACCACAAGCTGATCCACGAGCTGGCAGCCGTGTACACTGAGGCCATTGCTGACATCAAGCGGACGGTGCTGAGGGTCATCGAGCAGCCGGTGAGGCCACCAGGGTCCTGGGCAGGCTGAGTCCCCAACTCCAGTCCGTCCCCGAGTGTCTGCACTTCAGTGTGTGCTAAGCATGGGGGACAGGCACCCCCAGCCTGCAGCTGTGTAGCTTCTAGTTGCTCCTCATGGCATCCCCAGTTTGTGAGAAGAGACAAGGTGGCCCAGCAGAAAGCCTGCAGTCAGACAGGCCTTCGTTCTCCTTGTGACCCTTGGCCCCTCAGTAAAAGTGGGGGCATTGATAATCCACCCCTCGCACACACCAGTCTCTGTGCCACTGTTAAAGAGCTGGCCTTTCCCTGTGTGGCTCGAGGAAATCTGGCTGTCGTTGAAGAACGTAAGCTCCTCCTGCTCTCTGCTCTGGAGCCACGGGGTTGCGCCCGGGAAGCAGCTGCAGTGTGCAGAGGCTGCCTCCACTGCAGCTGGGTTTGAAACTGCTTGATTACATCTCACCTCTGCCCCTGACTTTTACAAAATTATTATGAAGTTTTCCAGTGGAAACGAGAGAGAGTCATTAATCCCACATACCTACCTCCCAGATTGGATGGTCTTCATACCTATAAAGTGGGATATGAAAAGAGCCAGCCAGGCAGCAGATTAAAGTGCCTGCTTAGGCAGATGCAGTGGCCAGGGTTCTATCCCTGGCATGCTGTGCAGCCCCGCCCCGGTGGCACATGCCAATAATCCCAGCTCTTAGGAGACTGTAAACAGGAGGATCACTAGAGTCTGATCTATGTAGTGAGACCCTGTAGACCCTGTACTAAAAAAAAAAAAAATAATATGAGGTGAAGTGGGTTGGGTCACCATTTTTAAGATGAGTCAACTTCAATTTGCAGAAGAGTCTGCCCGAGCAGCTGTGTTTCCATTGCAGCTGTGAACTTGGTCAGGGCAGTGGACTTTGGCCCTGCTCCCTCTGTTGGGCTCTAGAAGCAGCAGCAGGTTGAGCCATAGCCTGGGCTGTCAGGCTGTGGCGACCAGCTGTGGCAGCCAGAGAGGCCTTCTGCAAGCAGTTCAGGCACCAGTTGGGCATTCAGTACTTAGATTTGAGACAACAGAGGGCTGGCTTGCTAGGGAGGACACACAGAAAGACCACAGTGCTGGAGCTTGTTGTGCTTGAGAGGAGGCGCCCCCTTGTGCCCAGTTTCCCCCATTCTCAGCCCAGTCCCTCCCCGCCCCCCGCCCCCAGCCACCCTGGACTCCCCGAGCTCACATTCATCTGCTATCTGCTTCTAGATCCGAGGAATGGGCATGAACTCTCCAGAGCTGCTCCTGCTGGTGGAAAACTGCCCCAAGGGGGCAGAGACACTGGTCACCCGATGTCTGCACAGCCTCACAGATAAAGGTGGCCCCCTCCACCCCAACTTTCACTTTGCCTGCTAGATGGCAATGCCTCTTGTCTAGCCATTCCCTGGGCCTCAGTTTCTCCATCTAGAGCAGTATGGTGCCTACTACATGGGAAACCAGGGGCTGCAGAGGTCTGCTGAGCTCCACTTGGACCCCTCTGGGTAGTCACTTTGTGTCCTCTGCCCTCCCCCAACCCCTCTTCCTGCCTCTCTCCCCGTAGTCCCACCCTCTCCAGAGCTGGTGAAGCGGGTCCGGGACCTCTACCACAAGCGGCTGCCTGATGTCCGCTTCCTCATCCCAGTGCTCAACGGACTAGAGAAGGTACAGGCAGCTGCCTAGCAGCTCCCGCTCAGTGCAGTGGGACGGGGAGGATGGAGCAGCACACTCCCTTCAGCTCCCTTCAGCAGCAGGTGGCCGGTGTGAGCATGACAGGGTGGGAATATAGCTGTCTGTGCCAAGTGGTCAGACGTCCACCTGCACTCTGCGGCGACCTCTTCTGACCGCGTGTAGGTCGCTTGTCCTTTCAGCTTCAGTTTCCTTACCTGCTGGGAAGCTCACAGTGACCTGTGCACACATGTGGTTGTCCTGAGGCCCACATGAACTCTTGTCCCAGAGGATGTCTCTCAAGCGCCCTGTGTCTTAAGGGGTGTTGCCCCAGGAGCCGTGGGACTTGGGGAGAACCTCATCTGCCTGGAGGTGCCCTCCACTTGGACTCTTGCAGGAGGTCCCCAGCCTGAGTGGCACACATGCCCAGAGGCCTTGTAGCCCCCAAGGGTGAGCAGATGGGAACTTGGTGGGAAGGGAGATGAGGTGAGTGTGACATACCCTCTCCCTGTAGAAAGAGGTGATCCAGGCCCTGCCTAAACTCATCAAACTCAACCCCATCGTGGTGAAGGAGGTCTTCAACCGCCTGCTGGGCACCCAGCATGGTAGGTGATGTGCCCCCTCCCTGCCCAGGGCCAGCTGGACCCTGGCTGCAATGTCCCTCCCGAAGGAGGCTGTGTAGGGCTGTCTTCAGATAGAGAGGGGTCACCCACCTCCCCATGGTGTCTCCTGGGCTAGTCTCGCGGCGTGGGAGCTCCTAGCCAGAAGACTCCGGTCCCTCCCTGGAGCCTGCCCAAATCCCTCAAGCTGTGGGCAGGGCCATTTTGTCTGAGATGATAAAAAAGAAACAAAAGCTTTGAAAGCAAAAAACCTACCCAGTAACGCAGCATGGGGCCCACACCCCTCAGCCCTGTGGCTGCGTTCTGCACAGCACCTGCCTGGTGAGCTCTGGCACATGCATGAGCGCGCCACGCAGCAGGGCCTGGACCAGCCAGAGTGCCTGGCAGCCTGGCAGTCTCTTCCCCTGGCCTCCATTCTCTGGGCCCCAGTGCATTAGTGGCTTCACGTGCTTTTGCTAAGTGCATTGCTGGCCTTGTCCCGCCCTGTCCTGTCCTGCAAATGTTCCTGGAGCATCTGTGTCCTGCTGCAGTCAGTGCTGGCCACCCAGGGATGCACCAGTCCTAGCCCTGCCTTTGGGGGTGCATAGCCCAGCGGGGGTGAGGATCAGCTGTACCACACAGCATGGCTCTGACAAGGATGGGGACTGGAGGGGAGAGCACAGTCTTGGCTTGCCCTGTTCTCTGTCCCCCGAGTCTGGGAAGTGTGGACCCCTCACTTAGGCCTCCATACTGTCTCTCCCCGCCCTACTGCCACCTGCTGCAGGTGAAGGAAACTCAGCCTTGTCGCCCTTGAACCCTGGGGAGCTCCTGATTGCATTACACAACATCGACTCTGTGAAGTGTGACATGAAATCCATCATCAAAGGTGAGGCCCCTGTGTCTTTCCCCGGCTGTGGCCCAGCCCTGTGCATCAGAGCAGTGCAGCCGCCTGCAGCCCCCGCAGAGCTCCGAGGCCCCCACACAGCCCCTCTCTCCCAGGTCTTCACAGCCTTTCTGCCTGTGCGAGGCACCTCAGGAGTCGGGGGGCACTTCCTTTCGTCCTCCCTCCTGTTCTGGCCACGAGGAGGAGACGGCAGGTGAGCCCTGATCAGAGGCTCATCCTGTAATCAGGGAACCTGCTGGCCTCGCAGCTGCAGGCTGCGTGGAGCAGGGTGTGCACTTCCGCAGCATGACCTGGCAGATGCGGGCTCTCAGTAGCCCCCAGTCCCTCGGAGTCTGGCTCTCCCGTAATGCCTGGGGGCCTGCTCCTGCTGGTTCCACCACCCTACCCGGTAAGTTGTGGACTCCACTTTGCAGACAGGAGACGGAGTTTCAGAAGGGTTAAGTAACTGATTCAGGGACACACAGAAGCTAAGCAGTATGACGGAAAACACAGACTCTGAACTAAAGTAAACCTGAGTTACGTTCTGCCTCCTGCGTGCACCCTGGGCCCAGGCCACCTCCCGAGGAGCCACTGCCCTCAGCTCTCCAGAGTGCCACACTCCCTCCCCAAAAGGCTGTGCATCAGGAACTGGCCTTTGCCAGGAGGTGGAGTCCCAACCTGTTACCCTCTGCTCTGAAGACAGCTGTCCTTTGATTCTTCTCCTCCTGGGTGGGGTCTTCCTCTCTGGGCCATTTCATTTCTTTTTCTAGTGTTCAGTGACTTCTTTCCTAGTCCCCCTCAGCAGCTTCTCAGCAACTTCTTGGGTCAGGTGACACTGAGGAGGTGCCAAGGTCTCTGGTGGAAGTGCCGCGAGAGAAAAGGTCTCTCAGGTTATGGTCTAAGACTGTGGTCTTTCGATCCCTGGCTGCTGCTTCCTTGTGTTTTGTGGTGGGGAGTGGGATGGGACCCAGGGCCTCACTGTCATTGAGCTACACTCCCAGCTCCCCACTACCACCCCACCTCTTTGATGCACTGAAGAAGGTTCTGGCCCTTTCCAAGAGCAGTACAGTCATATGCTTTGTGTTCACACGGTATGGGCACAGTCTTGAGAGGCTTCACAAACACAGCCACCCCTGCTAAGCCCCCACCCCAAGTCTTGTGGTGCTCATAGGGGGAAACTATGGCTCGGGAAGAAAAGGAACTTGTGGAAGCCACTGAGGTGGCCAATAGCCAAAGCCTGGTGATGCGGTCAGGGCGCACCCTTTACCTCCCACCTGCTCTGGCACACTCGCCTGTCACCCCACCATTGCTCACCTGCAGCGCCCAGCCCCACTACCCCAGAGTCGGAGCACCTTTCCCCTACTCGGGCCCATCCAGGCAACACTAATGCCCATGGTTAAGAACCAGGCTGAGAAGTCTCATCCTGTCCTGCGCATCACAGCTTCGGCTCCTGCCTTTTGTTCCCTTACAAACCCAGTGGAGGAGCAGCCTCAAGAAGAAAAAGATGTGGAAGTTAGTCCAGGGCTGTGCTCTTTAGACTCCCTGCTCCCTCCTCCATTGGTGGAGTGCTGGAGGTAGAGCTCAAGACCTCACCCGCACAGCATGTGCTCCGGCTCCCTCTAGTCCTAGACACCCACCGCAGTCTGGCCCGGCAGTTAAGAAAACTCACCTGGCACCTTGGCCCAGCCTCGTCCTGGGTGGTGCAAGGATCACAGCAGGGCCAGCCCCAGGCCTTACAGGCAGAGGTCAAAACAAGCTGGCCCTGGACAGACCTGTGACAGAGCAGTCATGAAGGGCTATCTGAGCCCTTGGGAGACTTCCTGGGGGAGGAGCCACCTGCTGGAAGCAGGAAGTTGGTAAGGGTGAGGAGACTGCAGGGGCCAGGCTGGGCCAGGTATCCTGAACCCACTGAGCCGACCTTGGGCCAGAGGCCCTGGCCCAGATGAAGTCAGGCTGTAACCACTGGAGTGTCCTGCCCAGCTGCCTGCATGGAGTGAATTTGCCCTTGTTACCTTGTGGTCCTCTAGAAAGGAGGTAGAGGTTGAGGCTGAGCTTTTGGAAGACCCCGCAGGCCACCATTTGGAGAGCAGTATAGAGGCTAAGTGGGGCCCCAGGGGAGCAGAGAGGGCTGGTTGTGGGGGCCTTTGACAGCAGGCAGGCAGGATGTAGGCCTCTCTGGAAAAAAAAAGCGGGTATTTCCTCAGTTTCCCATGGGTCCCCACCTGCACTGTGCCCCTTCAGCCTCCTCCCTGTCTTCCTGTAATATCTCTCGTTCCGTCTTTGGGCCCCACTGTTCCTTAGAAGACCATCCCACTTGATGCTCCCCTAGCCTCTCAAGGATTGGGGGTCTCTTCTGGCTCAATAAAGATTTCCTGGTTGACAGATGCACATGGCAACTGGTGTTTGGGGAAGAGGGCTTCAGAGGCAGGTTTGTGGGTGTCCCCATTAGCATAGTAAAAAATTGGGGCTCTGACAGCACTTTTGGGGGCACAGACCCAAGGCCACCCTGAGGGTACCTGTGTAGTACCAGCCTTCTGGGTCCTTTGGGTGCTGACCTGGGGGTGCAGTGTCCATCTCAGCACTTGTCTGTGCCTGGTGTCTGTCACCCCAGCACCAGTGCAAGCCTTCATGCCCACGAGCAGCCTACCTCTGGAGGGGACCATGGAAGTCAGTAGCCACCTTCCCCTGGGGGCAGCACTAGAGGCGCAGCAGCCCAGTGGAGCCAGAGCAGGTCTCCAGCCTCCTGGGGCTGTCCTCAGGCAGGGTCTGGGTGCACTCACCCCACAGCAGCAGGGCGAGGCTTGCTTGGGTGGGGGCAGCAGGTGGAGAGGACGATGGGCCGCTCTCCGCCTCACAGCTACCAACCTGTGCTTCGCGGAGCGGAATGTGTACACGTCAGAGGTGCTTGCCGTGGTGATGCAGCAGCTGATGGAGCAGAGCCCCCTGCCCATGCTGCTCATGAGGACCGTCATCCAGTCCCTGACCATGTACCCCCGCCTGGGGGGCTTCGTCATGAACATCCTGTCCCGCCTCATCATGAAGCAGGTAACTGCCCCTGCCCAGCAGAGAGCAGCTGCACTGAGGACAGGCAGAGTGGGACCCCAGCCTCGCCCAGCACCTGCCGGCCATGTGGGCTTCAGAGGCCCCTCACCCCCTCTGCTAGGATGCACCCGGCTGCAAGACAGTGCAGTTGAACACTGTGCAGTACCAGGGTAGAACAGATGCCACCCGCAACCTCGGCCAGATTCAGCCCAGCGGCGGCTGCTTTGTAACAATGGCTGGAGGCTCAAGGCTGAGGGAGGCCGACCTGGGTTCAACTCTCACTTCTGCTTGTGTCCTGAGCTGCAGTCTCTAACAGGGCCAGTGTCGCCCTCTCGAGGCCTGGGTGAGAATGACATGATGGGTGTTTGGTGCAGAGGCTAGGAGAGATGTAGCGATTTTTTTTTTTTTTTTTTTTTTTCCGAACCGGGGATTGAACTCAGGCCCTTGTGCTTGCCAGGGAAGCGCTTATTCCGCTAAGCCATCTCCCCAGCCCTGGAGTTCAGATTTGGGGGGTTTTGACCCCTTTTCCAAGATGCCCTCTTGTCCCAGCTGCCTGAAAGGGGAAGCAAAGTCCTCTGGAGGGTGGTCAGAGCTATATAGCCGGAAGGGCTCTCAGGCGTTGGGATTGGCAAGGTCGTTTTTCCTGGGGGTGGGGGTGGGGGTGGGGGTGGGGGAGGCTGCCTGCAGCCCGCCCAACACTGTTCCCCTGCCCGACCAGGTGTGGAAGTATCCCAAGGTGTGGGAGGGCTTTATCAAGTGCTGCCAGCGAACCAAGCCCCAGAGCTTCCAGGTCATCCTGCAGCTGCCGCCCCAGCAGCTAGGAGCAGTCTTTGACAAGTGCCCGGAGCTGCGGGAGCCCCTGCTGGCCCACGTGCGCTCGTTCACCCCCCACCAGGTACCTCTAGGTGTGGGACAGCAGCCCTCAAGGACACGATGGTGGTGGGCCCAGGGGACTCCTCCCCTGCCGAGAAGCCCAGGGGCTCTAGGGTCAGGGTTCGGGTGGTCTGGGGTGTTTCACAGCTCTCCACAGCGCCCCCTCTTATTTACCTAGCAAGCACACATTCCCAACTCCATCATGACCATCTTGGAGGCCAGTGGCAAGCAGGAACCCGAGGCCAAGGAGGCCCCTGCCGGCCCCCTGGAAGAGGTGAGGGCCCTGCAGCCCCCACCCCACCCCTGCCTGGCTTGCCCGCTCTCCCTGCCCCCCAGAGACTGCGGCTTCCTAGGCCATCCCTGTCTAAACATGCTGGGGGGGGGGGGACAGCGACCCTTCCTATGTCCCCACTCTGAAAGCACCCCCAAAGCTTCTGTGTGCCCCTCCCTGCCTCAGGATGACCTGGAGCCCCTGGCTCTGGCCACGGCTCCGGCCCCCCGACCCCCTCAGGACCTCATCGGCCTGCGGCTGGCCCAGGAAAAGGCCTTAAAGCGGCAGCTGGAGGAGGAGCAGAAGCTGAAGCCCGGCGGTGTGGGAGCCCCCACGACCTCTTCTTCGGCTGCAGCTCGGTCGGGCCCGTCCCCAGCCGAGGAGACCATGGATTTCCGGGAGGAGGGTCCTGAATGTGAGACCCCGGCCATCTTCATCAGCATGGATGAGGACTCGAGTCTGACCGAGGCCGCACTTCTGGACTCTAGTCTCGAGGGGCCCCTGCCCAAGGTAGGAGTGTCAATCCGCACTGCACAGGAGGGATGAAGCCCAGGGGTTAAGAGTTGGGCGGGGCACCCGTGCGGGCTGGGCGTAACCGCGCTCTTGACCCACTGCCCTTTGCCTCCTCCTGCCACCAGGAGGCAGCAGCGGGCGGGCTGACCGCCAAGGAGGAGCGGAGCCCGCAGACCCTGGCCCCTGCGGGGGAGGACGCTGGCGCGAAGACTCCCAGCCCGGCACCCGAGGAAACCGGGGACCCCGAGACCAAGGGGAGCGGCTGAAAGGGTGTGGGGAAAGGCTAGTGGGTTGGGGGAGCTGGGGCTTTGCCTTAAAAGTAAATAAAGGAGGTGGCGCTCTGAGCTGGTTCCGACATCTGATCAGTGCAGTGAACGGGCTGGGGACACGCGGGGTGCGCCTGCGTGGACACTGCCTTCGTCGGTGACCCAGCCCCTTAACGGCCTTCTTCGCCCAGTGCTGAGGAAGCCGCGGCAAGAAAGTCCTCCTAGAAGGCTGTGTCCCCCCTTTTGAGCCATGGGGGATCCCTCCGAGCCCCCTTCCGGGCAGTACCCCAACCGCAGGAGTTTCCAGGCCTCAGAGCAGCGGCACAGTCTGGAAGCCTCTCAGCCGCAGGCTGCTGTCCCAGAAGGGGCCCCGCAGATGCTGCCTGCGCAGCAGCGGGGCAGTCAGGGCATCCCCAGCATGCGCTGGTCCGAGGGGGCCAGCCTGCCGGAACAGGAGGACTGGTTGATGTCCCAGACCTTCCAAGCTACGGGGACCCCCATCGCCCACACAGAACACCCCAGCTTTCCCTTGGGGTTCCAGACCCAAGCTTACCTGGAGGACGGCAGGACCCTGGCTGGCAGGACCCTGGCCGGCGAATACACCACCAACCTGATGCTGCAGCAGCTGCAGCAGGGCCAAGGTGGACTCCTCCAGCAACTGGAGCCAGCCTACCAACCGGCAGGTGCCAGCTTCCTCAGCCAGTTCGACAGCTACCACAGAGAAAACCAGCCCTTCAAGCTGGGCACGCAGCACAGCTTCTACCCAAGGGACGACCCTGCGACCCCGACGTTCTCGCTCTCAGAGCAGGGCTTCCTGTACTACAGTCCTGAGGTGCCTGAGCCCCCACCGCGGGAGCTGGCGGTGCAGAATGCCAAGGCCTACCTGCTGCAGACCAGTGTTGGCTCGGACCTCAGCCTGTGAGAGGGCACGGGCCCCAGACAGGGAGGGACCTAGCGAACCCCAGGGTCTCAAATCAGAGAGAGGGCTGCCTCATGGGAAACTGCTGTCCGCCCTGGGCTCTCCACTCAGGCATTCGGGCAGCGTGCCGACCAATGCTAGTGCTCCTTACACAGCTAGTTCCCTCGCACATCCTCTGTCCCTGTTCCACGGAGGACACTGAACCCAAGAAATCGGGTCACTTATCCAAGGTTACACAGCTAGGATGTGGCAGAGCCAGATTCCAGATCTTCGGGCCTGAGTCCGCCTCTTTGCTAGGGCCAGTTCCTTCTGCACTTCCTGTCTGAGCCTTAGTCATAAAACACCTGTTAGCCCCCATGAGAGACCAATGAAGCCCACATTCTAGAGAGAGAACAGACAGTAAAAAAAAAAAAAAAATGGTAAGGGGAGCCAGGGGTGGTGGCACACACCTATATCCCACACTTTGGTGGGACACTGAGATGAGGCAGGAGGATCATAGATTTAAGCCCTGTCCAGGCAAATTAGCGAGACTGTCGCAAAATGAGACAATTTTTTAAAAAGGCTGTGGATGTAACTCAGTATGAAGGCCCTGAGTTCAAGCCCCTGTACCACCAGAAAAATGAAGCCCGTTAAGGAGGATAGGAAGTGTGCAGGAATCAGGGGCCTGAGTCAGGGCACGGCCGAGGCAAGGACTCAGAGGCTTTCAGTGCTCCGGGGCAGTAAGGAGGCGGTTGTGTCTGGAGGAGGAAGAGGGGTTGATGGTGCGTATTGCTAAAGCATGAATCTGATGCCATCTGTCCCCATTCCCCTCAAGAGGAAGCGCAGAAGGGGCAGCTCCTCACCAAGGCTTCCCCAGGCCCGCCTACCCTCCACAGTTCATTTCTAGTCAATAACAGCTCCCACCTGAGGGCCTTAAACTCCAGTCCGAATTAACCTCTTGAAATCCCACCAACAAATCCTACCTCAGGAGCTTCAGTTTCCTTCCTGGAAAACCCTGGCCAGCCTCACCTCTTCTTACCCTTCTCAGCCTCAGTGAGGCTCTGGGCCACACTCAGGACTGCCCACAGCCAGGCACAGTTGCACACACTCAGGAAGATCAGAAGTCTGAGGCCAGCCTGGACAGCTTAGCGAAAAATACAGGGGCTGGGGGTGAGGTTTATGGCTCATTGGTAGAGTGCTTCCCTCATGGGTGTGAGGCCCTGCCCCCATCCCCAGCACCCCAAGGAGAAAAAAACTGGACAAAATCAGTCTCTACCCAGCAGCAGACATGCTCTACAAGTAGACCAACCTGGTTTCAAATGCTGATATAATATGACCATCAGCCCCAACCTTCGCTATGCCTCAGTTTCTTCATCTGTAAAGTGGGGGGCCTAGTTTTGAGGGTTCCACATAGCTCTCAACTCCTGGCTCTCCTCCCACCCCACCACCACTCTACTCCAGGTATACATAACCTTCCACAGGTGCCTTTTATGAGACAAGGGCACACGCTCAGTGTCACACATCCCGTCACATCATCTGAAAACTACGTCAGTTTTGCTTCTTTCCAGTCTTACCTTCTCTTTTTCATCTCTTATTGCATTGGCTACCCCCTCAGAATGGCATTAAGTCCCAGTGGGTCAGGCAGACTCTCAGGGCCCTGGCCTACCCCCAGTCTCCCAAATGAGTGGCTGGAGAACAGCGTAAAGAAAAGATCAGTAGTTTGATTTTTAGGCTCCAGAAAGGTCAGAACTCTTACAGGTCTAAAGACAAAGCACTCCATCAGACAGCCCATATTTGTTTGGTTTTCAAATGAAGGGGAAACAGAGGCAAGCGTGGAACTGAGCAGGGCCTGGGAATCTGTTGAAATCTCCAAGCAGCAAACTTCGATCTCTAGGGCTGGCAGTTCCATTGCTCTGGAATAGGCTGTGTCAGCAGCAGTACCCTTGGCTGCCGCAGCTGGGGTTATCCGGGCCTCAGAGCCAGCATTTGCTCTGTGTTCAGCAGCTTAACCCTCGCAGCCCCGGCTCCAACAGCAGTTGTCTCCAGTTACTCTCTCGTTGCTGAGACTTGGCCCCAGCACCCACAAATGGGAGGAGGAGAGGCGGGCAGGCACAGGAGGCCAGCCTGGGAGGAGACCTGCTCCCTTCACAGGCGAGAGACTGGGTTGTAGGGCCAGTGCCCGGCCTCTCCAGACCAAGACTGCTGCCATAAGCTGATTAAAGCCCCCCATGTCATTGGGCATGGTGACAAACTCACAAACTCCGGTAATCCCAGCACATGGAGGCTGAGGCAGGGGGATTGAGACCCTGTCTTGGAAAAACAAAACACGTCCAAGCCTCATGTCTGAGTACATGAAGCTTTGGGGTGACCTCTAGACATAAACCCTAACAGCAGGCACTTGTGTTCCAAATCTCATAGTGGAAAATACTGTTTTTCTTTTTTTTTTTTTTTTTTTGGTGGAACCGGGGATTGAACTCAGGGCCTTGTGCTTGCCAGAGAAGCGCTTATTTCACTGAGCCATCTCCCCAGCCCTGAAAATACTGTTTTTTCACCATTATAGTTGATGCAAGTTGTCAGTTCCTGTGGCTAAAATTATACAAATTAATATACAAATAATACAAATTCTCTTAGGCTGGAGTAGAGCTCACTGGTGGAAAGCCTGCCTAGAGTGTGTCTGTCACAAGGTTTTTGTTTTGTTTGTACTGGGAATTGAACTCAGAACCTTGCGTTTGCCAGGCAAGCACTTGTGTTGCCAAGGTATATCTCCAGCCCAAGTTTTTTCTTTAACTAGGAAGACTTCCCTATACTTACTGAGGTGACATGTGTCTCCTCTAAAGTACATGTTACCTAAATTAATTCTATTATTTTAATGTCAGTTGAGTCTGAGTTTGTTCCATTTTGTTGTCTTTTTGAGACAAGGTCTCACTACATAATTCAGGCTGGCTTTTAACTGATTTTTTTTTTTTTTTTCAGGTCAGTGGTTTTTAACATATCTTTAGAGTCGTGC